GTTTAGTTCATTTTTTTGTAGTGAAATGTTTAAATCTTTTTCTCATTTCCTTTTGTGTGTATTCTATGCCTATTTTCCTTGTGGTTACCATGGGAATTACATTTAACATCCTAAAATTGTAACACTCTTAATTCGAATTTATAGAAGCTTAACTTCAATAACATACAAAAACTAATCCTTTACAGCTCCATGCCTACCCTTCTTTGTTGTTAATGTCAGAAAATTGTATCTTTATACATTGTGTGCCTAAAAGCATAAATTAATAATTCTTTTAAATGCATTAGTGTTTTAAATTCTGTGGAAAACAACATTTGGAGTTACAAAGTTATAATAATACTAGCATTTAGACTAATAATTGTTTTTTCCTCCAGCTGTATTTGTCTCTTAAGTCATGTAGAAAACAAAGAGTACAGTTACAAACCATTGTTACAATAATGCTAGCTTTTATAATTGCCTGTGTACCTACTTTTATTGAGATCTATATATTTCTCTATACAGCTCCAAGTTACTGTTTAGAGTCCTTTCATTTCACCTTTGAGCTTTTCTTGCAGGACAGGTCTAGTAGCCACAGACCCCCTTAGCTTCAGGTCATCTGGGAATGTCTTAATTTCCTCCTCACTTTTGAAGGACCATTTGTTGGATATAGGATTCTTGGTTGATTCTTGGTTTTTTTCCTTTAACACTTTGAATATGTGGGCCCACTGCCTTCTGGCCTCCAAAGTTTCTGGTAAGAAATCTGCTTATAATCTTATTGAGGATCCCTTATATGTGATGAGTCGTTTCTCTCTCGGTGCTTTCAAGATCCTCTCTTCATCTTTGGTTTTTGAAAGTTTGATTATAATGTGTCTCAGTGTGAGTCTCTTTGAGTTCATCTTTTTTGGAGTTCCATGAGCTTCTTGGATATTTACATTCATGTCTTTCATCAAATTTGGGAAATTTTCAGCCATTATTTTTTCAAATATTCTTTCTGCCCCTTTCTTTCTCTCTTCTCCTTCTGGGACTCTGATAGTGCATGTATTAATCTGTTTGATGGTATCCAACAGATCTCTTAGACACTGTTCACTCTTATTCAGTCTTTTTTCTTTCTGTTTTTCAGACTCATTAACTTCTGTTGTTCCATCTGCAAGTTCACTGATTCTCTCTTCTGCCTGCTCAAATCTGCTCTTGAGTCCTAATACTCAATTTTTCATTTCAGTTAATGTACTTTTCAGCTCCAGAATTTCCTTTTTGTTTATTTTTAGGTTTTTTCCCTTAATATTTCTATTTTGTTCTTACCTTTTTTTTTTTTTTCCACTTTATCCACATCTTCCTTTAATTCTTTGAGTATCTTTAAGATGGTTGTTTTAAAGTCATTGTCTGGTAAATCCGCCATCAGCTCTTTTTCAGAGACAGTTCTGTTGATTTATTTTTTCCTTTGAATGGACCTTACATTCTTGTTTGCTTGTATGCCTTGTGGTTTTTAGTTGAAAACTGGACATTTGAATCTAGTACTCTGGTAACTCTGGAAAGCAGATTCTCCTCCTTCACCAGGGCTTGCTGGGCTTTTTTGTTATTTATTTATTTGTTTGTTGCTGTTGGCTGTCTCTGTGCCAAGGATCAGCCTGAGGTATAAACTTGAGGCCTTCTCAGATCTCTTCTGTACATTTCCCTGAGCATACACAGTCAATTTCTAATTATCCCTGTATACGCAGTTGCTTTTAAATGTCCTAGTCTTTAATGTCTGGCTTGCAAAAGGGAAAAAAGAGAAAAATGAAAGATGGGGAGGAAAGAGAGCTGGCCCTTTAAATCCCCGGGAAGTCACTTCAGCTGGAAGGGAAGGGGTTTGCAGTCAACAGCAATGGATGCCCTCTTCTTTATCTGCACCTCTGTGACCAGAAGCAGCAGTCAGTATTGTCAGTCAAACAGATCCCAAATATTTAGAGGATAGGTTCCTTTTGACCCACCTTGACTCCCGCAAGCTGCTCCAGGTTCATGTGCACAACTGCCTGCCATGCGGTTGGGGGTGTAGGATGGGTAACTGCTACTGTGCTAAGTGCTGAAGTTGACCAAAGTTAACCATAACTTACCATCCAAACCTTCCCCTGGAAGTTGCAAGCCTTCAGTAGACTCCATAGTTCCAAAATAGTTACATTAGACAGATTCCGCCAGTGCAGTTGTTGTCTAGGTGGGGAGACAGATTCCTGGTGCTTTCTTCTCTGCCATCTTCCCAGAATCCCCCACTGTGAATGTAAGTTCTTATTTCTATGGGATAAATGCCCAAGAATCCAATTGTTTGGATATGGTAATTACTTGTTTAGTTTTATAAGAAACTGCCAAACTTTTGCAGAGGAGCTATATCATTTTACATTCCTATGAGCAATGTATGATGATCCAGAGTGTCTGCATCCTTGCCAATTTTTGGCATTGTCATTATTTTTTATTGTAACCTGTCTGATAGATGTGTAGTCATATCTCATTGTGGTTTTAATTTTCATTCTCTGATGGCTAATCATGTTGAACATCTTATCTTGTACTTATTTGCCAGTGTATATGCTCTTCAGTGAAATATCTCTTCATATCTTTTTTAATTAGATTGCTTGATTTTTTTTTATTGTTGAGTTTTGAGAGTTCTTTATATATTATAGATACTAGTCATTTGTTGGCTATCTGATTTGCAAATGTTTTGTCCCAGTCTGTGGCTAGTTTGTAGGATCCTCTTAACAGGGTCTACCACAGACTAAAAGTTTTTTAATTTTGATGAGGTCTAACTTACCCTTTTTCCCTTTAATGGATCATGCTTTAGAGTCAAGTCTAAGAGCTCTGTGTTTAACCCTTAGATCTTGAAGATTTTCTCCTGTTTTTTTCTGAAAGTTTTATTGTTTTGCAGTATATATTTAAGTCTGTGATCCTTTTTTTTTTTTTTTTTAGGAAGATTAGTCCTGAGCTAACTACTGCCAGTCCTCCTCTTTTTGCTGAGGAAGCCTGGCCCTGAGCTAACATCCGTGCCCATCTTCCTCTACTTTATACGTGGAACGCCTACCACAGCATGGCGTGCCATGCGGTGCCATGTCCGCACCCAGGATCCGAACCAGCAAACCCTGGGCCAACGAGAAGCGGAACGTGCGAACTTAACCACTGCACCACTGGGCCGGCCCCATGATCCATTTTGAATTAATCTTTTATATAAAGTGTGGGGTGTAGGTCGAGATTCTTTTTTTTTGGCGTATACCTGTCCAATTGCTCTAGCACCATTTGTTGAAAAAAACTCTCATTATTCCATGGAATTGCTTTTGCACCTTTGCCAACAATCATTTTGGCATATTTGTGTGGGTCTCTTTATGGGTTTTAAATTATGTTCCACTGATCTATGTGTCTGTCCCTTTTCTAATACCACACTGTCTTAATTACAGTAGCTATATAGTAAACTTTAATATTGGATAGAGTGATTCCTTCTTACTTTATTCTTCTTGTCCAAGATTATTTTAGTTATTTTGGGGTTGTGCCTTTCCATATAAAGTTTAGAATCAGCTGGCCTAATTGAACAAAAAACCTTGCCTGGATTTTGATAGGAATTACATGAAGTCTACACATCAGTTTGGGGAGAATTGACATCTTTATGATGTTGAGTCTTCCAGTCCATGAACACAAATGTCTCTCCATATATTTAAATCTTTTTTGATTACTTTCATCAATATTTTGAAGTTTTCAGCTTACATATTCTGAACTTCTTTTGTTAAGTTTATAGCTAAGTATTTACTTTTCTTTGGAATGACTATTAATAGTGTTGTGTTTTTAATTTAAATTTCTGTGTGTTCATCATTAATATACAGAAATGTGATTGGCTTTTGTGTTGATTTCAAAAAGTTTAAAAAGTGGCTTTTTACTACTGTTTATTTCTATTTTTTTAATTTATCTTTAGGTGGTCTGTAGAATTGTCTTAGAGATAATTCCAACATATTGGTTAACTAATTGCAAGCACTCCTACAAAGGCGTTATCATTATTTTTATTTTATAGTTTGTACACTGAGCCTAGAACTTGCTAAGCTAGTATATGACACAGCTGGGATTGAAATTCAAGCTTGTAAAGAGCTGTTTCCAATATGCTACACCATCTCAGAGTTAAAAAAAATTGTTTGAAGGCACTTACATGGTGCATTTTCTGAGAAATTTAATCCCTGAAAATGACAATTTTACTAGAATTGCTAGATGTTCCTCTACTTATTTTCTTCCTGTCTCTGTAGACAGTGCACAAGTATCTATTGATATTTAGTGCATTGGGCAAAGTTGGGTTCCATTCCCCCTACTCAATGCTTGTATAAATTTTTCATATTTGAAATTTAAATATTCACCAGATTGGTATTCATTCCTTCAATTACTGTTTATGAAGGCAGGCATTATGCTAGGTACTGGATACGCAAAGATGAGTAAGTTTCTGCTTTTAATTTGCTTGTAGTCAAGTAAAGAAGAATGATAGGAAAGCAGATAAATAGAGTAGAGGGTGGTAAGTGCTCTGATGGAAGTAAGTATAGGTGTTGTACAATAATGTGCTGGAGCTGGCTCATTGCAGCTCATGGGAGCCAGTTATTAAATATTCAGAAACTTTTCAAACCTATTTTACCAGTGGTAGCTGAAAATGGCTGTGGTAGGAGTATTTACACTGTGGAAATTGGCAAATGCTACAAATAGGGCTTTCCTTTTCTTTGTTTCTTTCTTTCTCTCTCTCTCTCTCTTTCTCCTTCCTTCCTTCCCTCTTTCCCTCCCCCTCTCCCTCCTTCTTTCTCTCCCTTAGGACATCCAGTTTACCAACATACTACCGTTGGTATAGGAGCAGCGGTATTAAATCCAGTCTTTTATCTCATTGCAACATGACCCCATTCTACAGGTCATGTCATAAGTTGTCCCAGGACCAGCTGCTTCTGGCACTTTAAGCAACAGCCTTTCACAGCATGGTGGCTGTTCCCCTTTTATATAATGAGAGTGAGATTAAGTCTAAATCCCCTGTGGGTTCTGTTTTTTTCCAGAGACTATAAAGCAGCTAACATCACCATCAACTTATACCTCGTGAATGAGCCTTGGCTCTACTCACTGGCCTGGTGCTCCAGGATTCACTCCGTGACCACGGACAACATTCAGACCCTAAGTCAGCTAAATCACCCTTACTTCTTTATGGTGAGCTTGTTGTCCACATTTTCTTCCAAGTCTGGTACAGTAGGAGTCTATGTCTGCCACCCCATCTCTACGTTGCGTACTGTGCAGTCCCCAGGAGAGCTACTCAAGAGCAGAGACTTCTTTGAATATTGACGATGTGGCGTCCTTCCTTCTCTAACCCAGATCCTTGTGTAATTTTCAGGGGAAAATTAATATTCTTATAATAATTGCCATATATTGAATCCTCACAATGTGCTTTTCATGCATTGTGTAATTTAATCCCCTGAGTTAGCCACTGTTATTATCCCAATGAGGAAACTGAAGCTCAAAGATATTAAGATCCTTGCACATGGTTGCATGATGCAAGATTCAGATTGAGGTCTAACTCCAGAGTTTTGTTACTGCAGCCCTACCTTCCTAGGGGAATGGCAACAATGACAGTAGCACAGGATATAGAGAGAAAACCAATGTCCTTGACCCCCAAGTGAAAACCATGTGTACTGAAAAAAATGCTTTTGAAGACAAGAGCCACTGTCCAGTCACCTAGCTTGATTTCCCCTTCTGGCCCTGCTACTGCTTATTGCCAGAGGCTTGGGGACCTGAAGATCTGGGTTAGAATCTCAGCTAAATCCTATCTATTATTATCTGTGGAGGGACCCCTGGCTAACCAATTAACTGCAACAGAGTCCTTTATTCTTGTCTGTGTAGAGTAGATTGACTGAGTGGGACACAATGGCATATAACAGGAAACAGCTTCATTTCTCTCCGTTGACTCTTTAAGCTGCTCTGTGAGCTAGGCCTTTCTCTGCTCCTGAATGAAATCTTGCTCAGGTCCCATAGCTTTCCTAGTCACTCTTAAGTAATTTTTAAAAGTTCGCTTGTAGTCACCAAAAAGCCTCAATTCAAAATTTAAGTGTCCAGCCCAGACTCCAAACTGCCTTAAAAGTAAAGCTTTAGGGGCTGGCCCCGTGGCCAAGTGGTTAAGTTTGCGCACTCCGCTGCAGGCGGCCCAGTGTTTCGTTGGTTCGAATCCTGGGCGCGGACATGGCATTCCTCATCAAAACCACTGAGGCAGCGTCCCACATGCCACAGCTAGAAGGACCCACAACGAAGAATATACAACTATGTACCAGGGGGCTTTAGGGAGAAAAAAAAAAAAAAGTAAAGGTTTAGGCAGAGAAGCCTAAATGTTTCAGATTGCCTTCTCCATACCTCCAGCCTTAGCCTCTGTTTCTGACCTATTCAGGGTCAGGACCAAGAGAAGGGGGATCAGGGTAAAGGGCACATTCTCATAGGGCCAGTACTGCATTGAGGCCCTCTGGTGGCAGTGTAAAATTGCTGACCCTTTCTGTCTTGGTGGCCTGAGCAGCTTTCTGGAGATGACCCTGAAAGAAACCTTGGATGGCAGATCTCTTGGCATAGGTGAAGCTTCTTAACTTATGTGTCCCCATACAATACCCCTTCATGTATGTACTATATGTTTTTCTAACATTTTTATTTTTAAAAATTGATTACAAAGTAAACTTGTTCGTTATATAAAATTCAGTCATTACAAAAATGCGTAAATTAGAAAGCAACACACCCCTCTATAATCCTATCCCCCTAAATCAGTAATGTCTCAAAATTGTCCCGCTGGGTATATTAAATAAAATGTTATTAACTAAAACCTTTTGTTTTAACACTTGATTCAATAATATTTGAATTGATAATAAATTCATGTGACTCAAAATTCAAAAAGTATAAAAGGATATAAGTTAAAAAGAAAGACTTCCTCCTCCACCTGGCTGGGGCTTTTTTAAAGGACCCAATGTCACTTTGTTCAGGGATGTGGGGCCAGTATCGCACGGGTTTTCCCAAGCAGCCCACACTCTGGAGTTAGAATATGCAGATCAAATCTTGGCTGTGCTTCTTACTGTGTGAACTTAGAAATGTTAGTTAACTTGTCTGTGCCTCAGTTTTTTTAGTTGTAAATTGGGGATAATAATAGTACAGTAGAAGCACATTTATCCAACGCAATCTGGTCTAATCATTGGTCTGTTGAAAAAATGGAAGTGGAGAATCATTTAAAAATGATATATGTCTATCAGCTTTTACTACTTCAAAAAGAACCACCTAAAACTTAGTAGCTTAAGACAAATATTTTTTATTTGTCACATTCTATATGATGGTTCAATATTTCCTCTGGTCTGAGCCTGCTTGTCTGGGCTGGATAGTCTAGGATGGCCTTAGTCATATGTCTAGGGTCTTACTGAGAGAATCTCTCTTCATGTGGTCACTCATCCTGAAGGAGGCCAACTTGAACATGTTCACCTGGTGGCAATGGGTTCCCAGCAGCAAAAATCAAGACCCAATGCACATGCACTTTTCAAGGTTCTTCCGGTGTGATATTTGCTAATGTTCCATTGGCCAAAGAAAATCACATGGCCAAGTCCAGATTCAAGGTGACACAGTAAAGTCACATTGCATAGGAGCCTGCATTTTGGGAGGAATATTGTGGTCATTTTTCCAAACAATCTACCACACACATACCTCACACATTTTATTTTAATTTAAAATATTCACTCCTTTGACATAGAGTCAAGATCTTTTCTTTGAGGATACTTCAGCTATTTGAATTCTGTATTCTCTTGATTATTGAAACATCCAAATGAACCAACTATGGTTTCTAAGTTTTGTTTCTTTAAAGCAGAACAAAAACTTAAAGTCGTTAGAAAAAACAATCTGAATGAAGAATGCACTCATTTTTATAATTCTCCTGCCCCAATCTCTTACAGTGTTTCACTCACACCTAATTCACTTGCAGTTTACTTTTTAATGACCTATGCTGTCTTCACTGAGTTTTTTGAAGCATTGACTTAGTTTTCTTGGAAATGCTGTACTTTTTTTTCACTCAAATTTTACAAATTTAGGTAACGTTTAATTACACTGCACAATTATAACAACAAGTACAACTGTGCTAAGCCATTTGGGGAGCAAGAACAACTGATTTGTGGTGAACGTTCAGCTCACCTGGTGGGCATCCTGGAGTAGGCCAAGGCATTAGTCAGTATGTTTCCCAAAAGGATTAAGAGCCTCAGTTTAGTGGAAGTTGGTTAAGAGCTTCTACTGTACCTGCCTAGTAGGGCTGTTGTGAGGATTAGGTGTGAAAATACTCTTAAAGTACTTAGAACACTTCCTTAGCTCCTATAAATGCTCATTAGTTGTTAGTTATTGTTATCATTATTGATCATTAGTGTTATTCTTATTATTAGTATTACTGTTCAATCCAAGGCAAGGCCTTGGGATAGGGTGGAGAATGACCTAAGAAAGAATAAAAAGTGCCAGCCCCGGTAGCATCAAGTACAATTGGAGGGAGAACAATGGAGTGGAAAGGGATGATCAAACCAGGGAATTATAAAACTCACACAAGAGGACCTAGGAGCTGGAGCTCTGGGGAATGAGTGATATTCAGTCAAGGAGTGTGGAGAAGAGGGCATGTTAGGTAAGGGAAAATTAGAGTTTCGTCATCTTTCTTTGAAGCATGATGATTTCGAACAATGATTCCTAAATGCTAGTTCACAGACTAGTTGTTTTAGCATCACCTGGGGAGCTTTTTAAAAAATGCAGAAATTCAAATTCCTGAGGTCTGTAGTGAGACCAGGAACCTGTATTACTAAAAGCTGCCCAGGTAGATTTGGATGCACAGCCAGCTGGGGAAGCCATGCAAACAGAGCACTGGAGGTCAAGAAACTTAGCCTGTAGTCCTGGGGCCAGAATAGACTTGCTGTGTGACTTCTCAGGGGCTCTCTCAGACCCGTCTTGAGGGTCAAGGAAGGTGAAGGGTGTGAAGCGTTTTATCACTTGTAGAGCCCCCAGCACATGTAAGCAGTGATTGTTAGGATAGCACAGGTATTCTCTGTGTTTGAGACCACTGCATCAATAAAGGTTCCTCCACTTGGTCTGCCACCACCTCCCCCAGCCCTCGCAGGGGAGCAAGGGACTTGGCCCATATGATCTAAATCCCTTCCAACTGTAAAGTTCTTTGTGGTTTGTTTTCTGTGTTGCAGACGCCAAATTACTATGTCTTCATGTGGCTTTTCGTGGATAGTGTTTCTGCAATTTTCATTGTTGCCATATTTTATTTTCATTGGTAAGCATATATTTGTAATTTTAAATGAATTTTTCCCAAAATAAAAGTATAAGTGATTCTTATGGAAAGTTGAGAGAAAACAGTTACACTCTTTTACACTCTTCCTGTAATCCCACATGGCAAATTGTCAGGAAGATAGGGTTTATAATCTGAACCTCTCATTTCTTCTCATGCTGCCTGCAGCTCCTCACACCCCTTCCACCTCCTCAACACGAGACAGTACTCTAAGGACTCTCACTAAAGCTTAGTCAAAGCCTATTACTACATATTCAGTGTGGATCAGTTGAGAGAGGACAGGGGTTGAAGGTTTTCCAGAACAAATGCCTCCATCTTCGCACCTTCCATGAAACTGGACATAGCAGCATGCTCTGCAAGAGCAAGTTCACAAACCAAGAAGCCTGGGTTTTAGCCCTGGCTTCGCCCCTTAGTTGCTGGGTGACCCTAGGAAAATCATTGCCCTTTTCCAGGCCATAGTCTTTTTATCTGCCCAAGAAAATGAGATTTGAGAATTCTTGCAGGGCAAATGCTACAGGATTGCAAGATTCAAAATGGGAGAGGGAACATCCTAGTAGAAGAATTTCAGCTACAGGAGACTATGGTTGTTTAGACCTCATCATGCTCATCTTTTCTTCATTTGAAAGTTATCCTTTAAAGGTGGAAAGTACAAACCCTCTGCTTAAGTGAGACTTCATGATGTATTTTTCTGGCCACTGCCTTGGATTATTGCCTTTTTTTGGAAGAGGTCTGTGATGCTCATTGATAGTCTGCTTCCTTCCAGGTGGAATGAGAACGAAAAAGAAAAATTCTTCAAAAGCACCAGTACTCATAAAGGTAAAGTCAGAGGGCTAGCCCACTCCTATCTGTTCATCCCTACTCATTGCCTCCAGGACACAGGGCCTGCTTTTCATGTCTCTCAGAAGAGCTAAGGGAGTCAGGGAAATTGGAGAGGTAGGGACCAGGGAGAAGTTGAGAAGTGGAGGCTAGGCACAGATTTCTGGAGGGCCCTCACATCCAGCTTCGTTTTGGACTTCACCCTCTAAACAGTGAGACCCCTTGGAAAATTCTGAACATGGGTGTTTATTTGTTCACCTGTTCATATATTCATTCACCAGACAGTTATCGAATACCCACTTGTGCCAGGCACTCTGAGAGGGATTCAAGATAACTGAAAGCTCTCTATGGAGGCTGGCCCAAGAAAGAGGAGGGCTGGCCCACAGAGAGCAGTGAGGAAGCAGGCAAAAGTAGAGCCGTTGATGCCATTGGACCAGGCACCTGAGTCCAGGACAGAGTAGCTGCCATGCCCATTAGGGCGGAATGTTTCTTATGGGGCTACAGTTATCGGTGATATATGTTGGAAGGTGGAGGGAGAAAACTGCTGAGACCCTGGAATGCTGGACTAGAGTCTGCGCTCTGCATATAAGCAATCGGGAGATGGCAAATGAGTTTCAAGCAAAGGAGCAGGGGCCAGCCCAGTGGTACAGCAGTTAAGTGCACATGTTCCGCTTTGGTGGCCTGGGGTTCGCCAGTTCAGATCCCGGGTGCGGACATGGCACCACTTGGCAAGCCATGCTGTGGTAGGCATCCCCCATATAAAGTAGAGGAAGATGGGCACGGATGTTAGTTCAGGGCCAGTCTTCCTCAACAAAAAAAAAAAGTGGAGGATTGGCAGTGGAGTTAGCTCAGGGCTAATCTTCCTCAAAACAAAACAAAAAAAGACAAGGGAGCACTATGCTTAGATTTCTGTGTAGAGGGATGGAATAACAGAGTAACTTAATATTATTCAGTAGAATAACTCAGAGGCTGAGGAAGTGAGATAGGCCCAGTAAATACAAGGAGAGCTAGATTTTATTTTTTGAGAGGTTGTGGGGATAATCACACAGTGAGTTACTGGTTTGGGAAGCCAAAGTCAAAGGGAAAACCAATCAGGAGGCAGAGGACTGTGTAGTACATGATATAGTTTCCTTCCATAGATCCTGCAGCCTTAAGTAAAGTTGGTACGGTCACAAAATCATGAATTAACTCATTGTGGACAGTGGTAAAGATCCTCAGATGCTATTTACCAGCTGGCAGAGAGTTGAACTGATACAATACTTAGAATTGCAGGAATGTATCCACTGGGACCATGAAAGAATAAATTCAGAAATTTGAAAAAATTAAATGGAGGGCAATGGTCTTTCCCACTATGAAACTGAAGGTTCAAACCAAGCTCACTCAAATCTCTCAAGGGGCAGAGAGACCTCAAGTAACACTTGAATTACACAGACTTTAAGAAGATCACTCTCTTGGCTGTTAAGAAGTCTGAAGGCTGTATTCCAGCCACCCTATAACTTTCAGTAGTTGTATTAGTTTTCTAGGGCTGCCATGACAAAATACCACAGACTAGGTGACTTAAACAACAGACATTTATTTTCTCACAATTCTGGAGGCTGGAAGTCCAAACTCAATGTGTCAGCAGGTTTGGTTTCTTCTGAGGCCTCTCTCCTTGGCTTGCAGGTGGCCGCCTCCTTGCTGTGTCCTCACACAGTGTTTCCTCTGTGCACACACGCACCCCCAGGGTGTCTCTGCATCCAAATTTTCTCTTCTCCAGTGAGACTGAATTAGGGTCCACCCCAATAGCTTCCTTTCGATCACTTCTTTAAAGTCCCCACCTCCAAATACAGTCAGATTTTGAAGTTCTCAGCATTAGGGCTTCAACATTTGGATTCGAGGGATGCACGAGTCAGCCCAGAACAGCAGCCAGCCAAGACGTGAAAAGAACATGGGAATGGTTAGGAAGGCGTGGGAGAGAGAGAAATTTCGAAGGAAAATTCAAAGAACTGTATGAATTTGGATGAATGAAGTGGCTATAATGTTTTATAAAAAGTATTTAGTTAACTTGACCCCAACTCCCCACCGTATTGAAATGATGATAAGAAAATAAGGTGAGTAGAAAATAAGAGTTTTTCCTGTTTTTAAGAGTTTTCAGTTGCCTGTTACAGAAACCAATTTTGCTTGATATAAGCAGAAAGAAAATGTATCAAAAGGCTGTTTGAGTACCTCCAAGAGACCCCTAGAAGGTGCAGGACCAAGTTTAGAATCAGGGAAGGAACAAGGAAGACTGGAAAGCCCAAACCACAGCCAATATCCATTCAGGTTGAGGAGAATAGAGCCTTGAACACTAAGCACACTGTCGCATCTTGCACCACAACCACCTCTAGGATGGGCATGTACTGCTGTACCTGCAGGTGCCACCAGAAGCCACTGATCGTCTTTCTAGCTTTGGGATGTATTTTTCAGCGGTAAATCCTTTGTGTTATGTCTCATATAGTTTCCTATGAATAGTCTTAAAAAAGCAAAAGTCTTCCATTTTCTTATCTTTCTTCCTCTACTCGTAATATGTCCTTTTTCTCTGACTGCTTTTTGAGATTGTTCCCTTTATTACTGGTTTTCAGTAATTTGATTATGATTTACCTTAGTGTATGTGAGTGTGTCTGTCTATCCTGCTTGGAGTTTGCTGAACTTCTTAGATCAGAGTATAATTTTCATCAAATTGGATAAATTTTTAGTGTTTATTTTTACAAATATTTTTCTGCCCCTACCCTCTTTCTGGGATTCCAGTTACATTGATGTTGGACAGTTTGATGTTATCCTATAGGATACTGAGACTTTGTTCATTTTTATTTTTAACCTATTTAGTTTCTATGCTTCATTTTTGGTAGATTCTATTGCTGTATGCATTAGTTTTTTTTATTGCTGTGTAACAAAGTACCACAAATCTAGCAGCTTAAAACTATACAAATTTATCATCTCACAGTTTCTGTGGGCCAAGGGCCCAGGCATGGATTAGCTAGGTCTGCTGCTTAGGTCTCACCAGTTTAAAATCAAGGTGTTGTCCTAGGCTGCAATCTCATCTGAGACTTCAGAGTCCTTTTCCAAGCTCACTGATTGTTGGCAGAATTTAGTTCCTTTCAGTTGTAGGATTGAAGTCATCCCTGTTTTCTTGATCACTGTTGGCAGGGCTTTGCTCTGAGCTCCTAGAGTCCACTTTTGTGTCCTAGCCATATGGCCCTCTTATCACATGGTAGCTTACTTTTTCAAAGCCAGCAGGCAGATATCTCTATAGCAGATGGATTCAGGAAAGAGAGAACAAAGAAAGCAAAATAACAGACAAAACAAATAGAAAACAAGTTGAAACATGGTAATCATATATCTAACCATTTTATTAATTACATTAAATATAAATGGACCAAATACCGAAATCAGAAGGAGAGATTTTCAGACTGGATAGAAAAAATCAAGACCCAACCATGTGCTGTCTACAAAAGAAATACTTAAGATACAAAAACACAAATAGATTAAAAGTGAAAGGATGGGAAAATGATATGCCATGCATAACAATAAGCATTATAAACAATATCTGAAAAAATATACTTCAAAACATGGAACATTACTGGAAACAAAGATTTCATAGTGATGAAAAGGTCAACGTATCAGGAAGGCATTATAATCATAATTGTGTGTACACTTAATAACAGAGTTTCAAAACACCTGAAACAAAAACTGAAAGAGAAATCACAGTTGAAAATTTTAACATTCCTCTCTCAGTACCTGAAATAACAACTAAACACACAAAAAATAAAATCAGAAAGGATACAGAAATCTAAACACTTTTCAGCTACCTTGACCTAACTGACATAAAACAGTATATTCAATACCAAATTGAATCCATCCAACAACTGCAGAATGTACAATATTTTCAAATGTACAAGGCATATTTGCCAAAATAGACCACATGACAAGCCATAAAACAAGTCTCAATAAATAACTTCCAAAAAACTGAAATCTTCAGAATATGTTCTGTGACCACAATAAAATTAAATTAGGAACAAACATCAATAAAATATCTAGATGAGCCTCTAAATGCTGGAAATTAACATATTTCTACACATCCCATTGATCAAGGGATAAATCACAAGGGAAATTAGAAAATATTTTTAACTAAAGGATAATACATATACGATAGCAAAATTTGTGGGGCACAGCTAAAGCAGGACTTAGAGGGAAATTTGTAAGTTTAAATGTTGGAAGAAAGAAAGGTTTAATATTAAGTTTCTACCTTAAGAATCTAGAAAAAGAAGAGTAAATTTTTCCTAAAGTATAAGGAAAGAAAGAATAAAGATAGCAGGAATCAATAAAATACAAAAACTACAAACAGAGAAAATGTTAGTTCTTTGAAAAGATTAATAAAATTGATAAACTCTTAGCAGACGAGAGAGATTGTCAACATGATGAATGATAAATGAAAGAGGGACTGTTTCTCCAGATCCTAGACATAAAAAAGAAAATTATGAGTGTTTTAATGCCATTAAATTTGACAACTTAAAGGAAGCAGGCAAATTCCTTGAAATACACAACTTAAGAGAACTGAGAGAAGAAATAGAAATTTTTAACAACTCACTATCAGAATCAAATTCGTATATCAAAAATCTCGCCACAAAGAAAAGTCCAGGCCCAAAAAGTTTCACTGGTTAATCAAATATTTAAGAAATGCTCATCTTATACCAGCTCAGAAACAAAGAAGAGGAAGGAACACTTCCTAGCTGATTCTTTGAGGCCAGCAATACTCTCATATAAAACCTAACAAAGACATTTCAAGAACTAGATTTACAGACATAAAAATCCTTAACAAAATAATAGCAAGTTGAATCCATTACTCTATAAAAAGGATGATAGATCATGAGCAAGTGCGGTTTAGCCCAGTAGTCACGATGGATACATCATTTGAAAATTAACATAATTCACCATGTCAACAAAATACAGGAGAAAAAGTGTATTGACAAAAGTCAACACCCATTTATGATAAAAGCTCTGCACAAACTGGGAATAGAATGAAACTTCCTCAATCTGATGGAAGATATTTACAAAAAACCTCTTCAGCCAGTATCATTTTTAATGGTGAAACAATGAATATTTTCCAAGATCAGAAATAAGGCAAGTGTATCTGCTCTCACCTCTTGTATTCAGCACTGTACTGGAGATCCTAGCCAGTTTACTAAGATAAATAACAGACATAATGGAAGAAATAAAACTCCTGATTTAAAGATATTATTATTTACATTAAAAAATTCTAAAGATTCAAACAACTAACAAACCTACTGGAACTAATAAGTGAGTTAAGCAATGTCTCAGGATACAAGGTGAATATACGAAAAGTATTCTAAAAAATTTTAAATAGCATCATTTACAACAGCACAAAAACATAAAATAAGAATGAACTTAAGGAAAATGTTGCAAGCCCTTTCAAAGAAGATATATAATTGGTCACTGAAAACTACAAAAGTGTACTGAGACAAAGACCTGAATAAATGGAGCAATATACCACGTTCATGAGTTAGAACACCTAATGTTACAGATGTTAGTCGTCATGAAACTTACTTACAAATTCAGTTCAAGTGCAATAAAAAACCCTCTTGTGAAGCTGACAAACAATAAAGCTCACATGTACACCTGTTTCTTCAAGATTGAAATTACACTCAGGGCAAAAATAACTGAGTTCTGGGCTGGCTTCTTTGGATTCTCACTTTCTTCTAGATTTTGGCCCCATAGTTCCTTACCATGTTGTAAATTCTTAGATAAATTTAAGATGTTTTCTTGGTTTGGTATATTATCCAGTTTTTAATTTGTCTTTGATAAGAGTCAATTTCCTAGCTCCATCACTGGAAGAAGCTTCCATCATCTATTTTTTCCATCAGATAAAAATTATTTTTTTGAGCACTTACTGTGTGACAGATACTTCTGAGCACTCTATATGCAGTGGCAAGCAAGATAAAGTCTCTGCCTTTAAAAAGCTCCTGTTCTAATTAAGGATGTGTTCATTTTTCTATTCAAACTGACTTGGAAGCAGAGGTTGTGAAATGCATGAACTTTAAGCAAATATCAGTCTCTCCCTTCTGAGAGCTGCCACGGTGAGCCAGAACCTCATACAATAGACTCAAACTCCAGCACCATGCTGAATTGGAGGACCGCAATAAAGTCTGCACAAAGTCTGGGATAGGGAGAGAACTAGGGGGAAGGAGCCTGAGATGGTAAGTAAGGGACTAACATTTTCAAGATGACTAGGATTTCACCACGTGACCAGCAAAGACTGGAGAAGTGACAGTTGAGGAATACATTTTTGTCTTTTCCATCCCACAGATACTCGGAACCTCCCAAAGGGAAAAACTAAGAAGTCAGGAGCTTCTGTGATATCCAAACCACCCCCCCGAGTTAAGGAAAGCCCTTGGACTTTAGAAGCCCTCACCCCAGCTTTAACCAGAAGCACAAGGAAACACCCAGGCCCTCAGCAGTTTTCAGCAGTCCCTGAGGAGAAAGCCAGCAAACCACTGAAGCCTGTCAAAGATGACGTAACACAACCAGTGCCCACCCAGGAGGACTTTGAACTCGCCCAGGAACCCACCAGAGAGGCCACCCACAAAACTGCTTTGCCTGACTTGAAGGCGAATGAACCAACAATTTCTTCTGCAGAGGTCCCTCATCCTGAAACACAACCAGATTACACCCCCATTGTTGAATCCTCCCAATAATCATCTTTTATTATGTTTTCCACCACATCCAGCATGTCCTTCTCCTCCTTTGGGCTGTCTTCAAGAATAATTAGCCACATCTTGCCCCTTTCTTCCTCTTCCTCTCTGTGTCTAAGGGTGATGATGGGGGCGGGTAGTCAAGAAAGGGTGCAGGAGAGCCATTCTGGTCTAACCTTTATATAAAGATTGTACCTCAAGGGGATGGGCAAGGGAAAAAGAGTTGTGGTCTTGGAGCTGGAGCTGGTTGTTCTCTGGGTGTTGGAGGGTTTGTCTCATCCTAACCCTTCATAGTATTCCCTGCTGCAGGAGTGGCTGTGGTGAACATCAGCCTGTAAATAAAGGCAACCTCTCAGGAAGCCAGAAGGTTAATCGTGTCTTCTTTGGATCCCTTTCTGGTTACTCAGACTGACAAAGACTAGGAGATGAGCGCAAAAGTGATGCCATCCTGAGTAAGAGAATGAGAGGTGGCATGGGCATGAGTCAGGGGCAGAGATTTCATCCCACATACACATTCTGTGATCTAGTGTGCAGTGGGATGCTTCCTAATAGCTTGTTGATGGCTTATTCCCCAATGGGATGATGTGCATAATCCCATGTCCACCCAATAGCCTTTGGCCTTGAAGGGAAACTAGAGCTTAGAGCGAGCATTTGGAGCCACTTCTTTCTGAGAGCCTAATATTAGGGGCAGTGAATTTAGTTCCACTATGTGACCTTCACCTATCCACACACTCTCTGGGCCTCAGTATCCCCAGCTGTACAGTGACGGTGTAGAGACAGACCACCGCAGCACCTTTCTTCTGGCTCACATTTGTCCTGGGCTGACTGTGGAGTCCTGCAAACATTGGTGGCGTAGGGCTGCCTCAGACATCCAAATTATCATCCCAGAAAGCAGGGCTGTCTGATCTGGGGCCTCCATTTCCACAACCAACCCCTCCCCCTCCCACACAGGCAGCTAGGGAGAACAGGAATAGCACTGTCTGCAAAGTGTTGGGCACCTAGATGCAGATGACCCCAGACACTTGAGTGTGAGGGTAAGCAGGACTTGACTCTGCTGAGGTATCAGGGGGACCTTGAGGACAGATCACAAACATGCCCACCTGAAGGATATTCTTCACTCTCTCTTCTCTTGGCACTCATCCTAGCGACAGCCCAGGAGGATGCCCCACTCCCAAATCACATCTTCCCTGTCTGAAGCCCTCACCCCCAGACCTGCCCAGTTCATGAACAAACTTGGTTGTTCCATCCTGGTCACAAAGTAACATTTTACAGGTAACCACTGGACATAGGATCTAACCTGAGGCAGCATTGTTCTTGGGGTTCTTAGAGGTTTCTTGATGAGCCAAGGAGATCTTTCTAGTTAAGGCCCAGAAGCTTGTCTAGATCCCCAACCCATGCACACTTAGGTCCCCACCTCCCAGGCCGATGTCCAGCATTTCCCCCTAACCTGCCCTGGGCCCAGCAAGTCCCTCTAAGCCTCTTTCAAGAGCAGCTTGGGCTCAGGCATCCAAACCCAGACCAGCTTGGCCCTGCACGCACAGACCAAGGAGACAGTCATACAGGCCACTCCCCAACAGGGCCCCGTACTGGCCCCACACACTCTCCCCCTCCCTCTCCCCTTCCCCCAGCAGACACCGTAGGGCCAGAAGATGAAACACATGCTTTATGCCCTGAGATGATCAGGCGAAACTCAAGCAGGGGCTCAGCACTCACACTGCAATCTGTAAAAGTGGTCTGTGTCCCTCACCCAAGCTGAGGAGCCTGGACTTAGGGGAACTAAGCCACTCCCTTAGGTTTCAGAATACTCTTGGTTTGGTTGGTTTGGTTTCATTGTTCCCAGTACAGAGAACTAGGTCGTCCTCTTGATTCCCTGTCCCAGTGGTGCACAGAAAGTCAAAGGAGGTTGCATGGTAGGGCTGGTCTGAGATAAGAAATGCATCCAAGGAGCACAGGCTCTTACAACTGGGAAGGCCACAGCAAGCCAGGACAGAACCAACCCAGGTGCCTCAGGAGGGGAGTTCTGCATCCCAGCAAGGCTGCCTCACTGGAAGAAGGATCAGAGGCCAAGTTGGTGCAGTCAGTGTTGGCCGGCTGGCCCGGCCTCCCTGCCTGGATGGCAAAGCTCTTCCCCAGTTGCAGACGTAGCTGATGAGCCTGAGCCAGCTGCTGCCTAGAGAGCAGGCACAGGGCCAGTGCCGCCTCCCCACTGTTCACTTGCCACCCCTGGAGCCCCGCTGTTTGCTCATGGCCGTGAGCATCTGGCTAATATAGGAAGTCAGGAGGTCATCCATCTTGTAGCCCTGGAAACAGTGGCAAGGAGATAAACAGAGCACAAAGTGGGACAGGGCCAGCCCGCTGAGACCCAAAACACAGCTCCCAGGAAACTCAGTAGTGGGCAGAACCCTAGACAAAGGCAAATCCTGTCCTGCTCTAGACTCGGTCTCCCCAGCCGCATAGTTGAAGGGCTGGATTCATCCACCCAGATGTCTAGGGTTCTAAGCTGTTATGACTCCCCATTAAGGCCCTATCTCGCGAGCCCCTCAAATCCTAGATGCCTACCTCAGGAGTGCCTCTACAGGCCCTACCAGTCAAGCTATGCCTTGGAAGCTGAGTTCAGTCTAGGAGGCACCATTGCTGATGGTTCTACTGTTGATCTCAGGGGCCCAGATACGGAAGACACTCAAACAATAGTTACTGAACAAGGAGTTTGTGCCTCAGCCTCAGATTAAGCCCCTTCCCCAGACCTAAGCTGAGCTTCAGACTGACCTGACCTTGGCCCCAACCTGACTCTTGATCCTGACCCCAGGCCAAGTTGCACACCCCTCATGTTTGTCCCATGGGCTGGGCAGATGGCTGAAGTTGCAGGCGAGGCAGGGGAGCCCGCCAAGCCTGGAAGCAAAAGCGCTCACCAGTGACGTCTCACAGAGCAGTTTGCTCCCGCGCACCAGGTTTCCAATGGTGATGTGGAAGTAGGTGTTGCCACTGCTCCAGTTGGAGATCTTGGTGAAGGGGTGAGTGGTCAAGATGTCCTGGGGGAGGAGGGAAAGCAGAGAGAAGGTGCACAACCTGGACACTCTCGCCTCACTCTCCTCAACTCCAGCCCACCAACACCACCCACACAAAAGGTCCCAGGCCCTCATATGAGAAAAGGAGCAAGAGGGTAGAGGCCAGCTGTGCTGTGAAGCTGCTGAGGGAGGCAGGTGCTTTCTGTCTCCATGCCTTGGCTGGGAGCAGCTGGTGGGACACTCAAGGAAGTCCAGCAGGCTGTTGGGTATGTGGGGCCAGAATTGGAAATTTGGGAGGCTGGAAGGAACTAAAACTGTGGTCCTGGAGGAGACGGTCCAGAGACACAAGAAAAAGACAGGACAGAGCCTTGGGGAACACACTGTGTATGGGCTGGGTAGAGAAGAAGCCCACAAAAGTGTCTGAGAGGAATGACCAAGAGAGATACGAGAAAAACCGAGAAAGGGGGGCCCAGGAAGCCAAGGGGAAGATGGTGGTTGTTGGCACCCTTCACCAATGGTCCTGTGAGCCCTCCTGTGTCAGTGGTAGGACTGTGCTTCCTGGCCCCCTTGGTGAGGACTGCTCTGGGCCATAGCTAAGAGCAGCAGTTTCTCCAGCACAGCCTGCCGTCCTGACCAATACGGGCAGAGAGCACCTTGGAAGGAGGGAGCAGTTGGGAGCATCAAAGGACGCTGAAAGGCCAGGTATTAAAAAGAGGTCACTGGGTTTAGTAGCAAGGCGTTTATTAGGAACTCTAGGAGAGCAATTTTGATGGAGTGGATGAAGGGTAAGGAAGCAGACACAAAAACACAGACACCCTCTCAAGATGTGTAGCCAAGAGGGCAGATGAAATGAGGACAGCGGCTGGCAGCAGCTTCCAGGGTTTGGGGCTGGGGGCCTTTGTTAGAGGTGCAGACAGAGAAGCCTGCCCTGCCTGCTCTTCTTGTCACCGCTCACCTTGGTTCTGGGGTCGATGAGGCTGACCCCATACTTGTTGATGGCAATTAAGAGGATCTCAGGGAAGTTTGGCTCCGTAGTTTGCTAGTAAAGAAAGCCAGAAACCATCGGATGGAGACCCAGAGCAGGAAAGGCTGTGTGCATTTGGGGCAGGAACGAAGTGGTGCCCAGCTAGGATTGAGTTGACCCCTCCTGCTGTGACCCGGTGTCAGGAGTGCAGCGGTGCTGGATGTCCTGCCACCACCTCATGGTTTCCACCTCTGCTGGGCCCTCAGTGCTACCCCAAGTTCCCTCATGGGTCCCCAAACAACGCCCTCTCCCACTCTCCCCAGCAGCAGTCTCTTCCCTTCTCTCCTGCTTCTCTAGGAGTCTCTGCTGTCTCCTCTCTCTCAGCCCAAATGTCTGTCATCTTTAAAAACCTTCCCTGAACACTATGCCTACCTCCAGCCCCTCCCTCCCTCTCTTCCTTGCACAGCCAGGCTTCTCAAAAGGCATCCCAGCCTAGATGTGTAAGAAGGCCATCCTCTCCTCTCCATCCTGACCTATTCCCTCATCCTCTCACACCAGCCTCTTCACCGTTCTCCTGCCTCTGGTCACGCCGCTCAGATCCACCCCCCACCCCACAGTCAGAGTGGGCTTCTGGCCCCACCATCCTTGTTTAAAACCCTCCAAGGCTGACCGCCACCTGGAGGAGGAAACCAACCCCTTCGCCTGCTCTCCAGCCTGCCTCTCAGGGCAGTCTGCTCCCCTCACACCCTCCACCCCTCCACACTCAACCACCTGCACATCCTGCCCAGGCCTGAGCTCTCGCACCTCTGCATCTTTGCTCACGCTAGGCCCTCTGCCAGGAACACTCTCCCCAGGGTCTCCCTGGAAAGCTCAAGTGTTGCCTCCTCCAGGAAGCCTCCTCAACCTTCACAGTCTGGGTAGGCCTTCCAGGCTCTGCCACCTCAATGACGGCTCCCCACCGTCACAGCTCAGATCATCCTCCATTACTCTGATCTGTTTACATGTCTGCTTCCCCTGCCAGGCTGAGCTTCTGGTCCCTCTCTGTCCCAGGACAGAGCCCA